TGGTCTTTTTTTCCCTTATATCTCAGTGGCCCGTGGTCCTTGCAGCCTCACGCTGTCTAATGCCTATCTAATATTTGTTTGCTCCCGGGAAAACGCTCATTGATTTAATTTGACGCCAGCTGCCCAGGGTACTTAGCTCAGCAATTAGCAGATCCAGGCACCTTGTCTTTGATGGTGGAAGCACAGGGGTGTGCTTGTGTGTGTGAAGTGGGATAAAACAACAGCAGGCTATTAAACAGCTCTAGGGATCTGCATTTGCAGCACAGCCACCCACTCCAACCCCCACCACACACACACACACACACACACACCCCCCCTTCACACATGTGCACACATGCACGCACACACACATATCTTTCCAGATGGAAAATTCTGCTCTTTGACAACATCAGAGGATTGCAGGGAGACGTGAGTTGCTGTCTCCAGAGTCCCATCCCACGGATTTGCTGGCCTTCAACAACCCCTCCTGGGACGGGACTGGACATGTCCTCTTTGGGAAGACTTTGTCTAAACAAAACCAGCCACCCCATGCATTTTGCTTTTGCCTTGCACACTCATAAATGTTGCACAGATGCTATGTCCCTGCTTGCCCATGGCAGGCATGCACAACAGAGCAGCCAAGACTTTCTCTGCCCACCACCCAAAAACATAGGGGAGGGGGTAGGGTGTGTGGCTCATGGTGGGGAGGCTTTTGGGGAAAGGGGGCAAGGCAGGGCAGCCAAGGCCAGAAGGCAGCCTCCCCCACCCAGGCAGGAGAAGCAGGGCAGTGCCTGCAGAGGGGCCGGCTGGGGGAGCAGGGCTAGGGCAGACGTGCACCCCTGCACATCCAGCTGCCAGAGCAGTGGCTTGTAGGCCAGGGTGGAGGCCAGACAACAGCATGAATGAGCCAGTCCTGGCCATGGCACCAGCCTGGGCAGGAGCCTGCCTGGCTCCCACCCCAGCTTCTCACTGAGGAGGGCTGGAAGGACCGAGAGCCCCCCCATTTGCCAACTACAGCAAAATTGGTGTGTGCAGCTACAATGGCCTCTAGGATTATTTCTGCAGAGAGCCATGGCTGGGGGCACTAGTGGGGGTAAAATGGGAAGGGTGGGGCTGTGGGACTGGGTGTTTTCTCCCCCCCCTCCTTACAGGCACTGATGGCACCATCATCACTTACAGCTGGGATCGAAAAAATAATCCTGAACCTTGGAATAAGCTGAGCCCCACGGACCAGTATAAAGTGAGCACCGGGTGAACTGGGGACCTGGCACTCTGGGGCGCAGAAATGGCCACATTTAGGGCAAGACATTGCATTTTCCTCAAGGAAGGGGGAGGTGGCATCAGTGCTGGGACAGAGGTGCATGAGCCCTCCAGCTCCTTGTGCTCAGATCTGGGGAGGGGAGCACTGTCCCTCCCATGTCACAGCCAAGACTAGGCTGAAGTGACAGTCATGGGGCACACAACCCCCTCTCATGTCCCTCCCTTCTCCAGTTTCTGGCAGTTTCCACTGACTACAAGAGCCTCAAGAAGGACCGTCCCAGTTTCTGAGCTGCTCTAGAGACGTGCTCCAGCGCAAGCTCAGGGAAGAGCATGTCCACCCCTGGCAGTGCTGGCGCAGCCCCCACCAGCCCTCCTGGCTCTTGCCTGCCCCAGAGCTCCAAGACAAATTCCTGCATTCACTGGCCTGGCTGCTTTGCAAGCACCCCCAAACTCTGGGGATGTGTACCCCTCCAATAAACTGCATCACCCTGCAGTGATGTGACCACTGTCACCAATGTCCCTGCCCACCCTGCTGGGCATGCTGCTCGCCCTTGTTTTCCTGCCTGCTTTAAACTCATAGAAGAGTAGTAAGTTATTGGCGGGGGGGGGGGGGGGGGGGGGGGAGAGGAAAAGAAGGCAGGGAGGAAGGGAGGGAGAGGGAGAGAGAGGAAGAGAGAGAGAAATATGAGGCTGGATTGATGGGGAATAGAGGGTGGATGGAGTGGCACAGGACTGACAGGCATGCTGTGGCGCACAAGGCTGGTCTTTTTTTCCCTTATATCTCAGTGGCCCGTGGTCCTTGCAGCCTCACGCTGTCTAATGCCTATCTAATATTTGTTTGCTCCCGGGAAAACGCTCATTGATTTAATTTGACGCCAGCTGCCCAGGGTACTTAGCTCAGCAATTAGCAGATCCAGGCACCTTGTCTTTGATGGTGGAAGCACAGGGGTGTGCTTGTGTGTGTGAAGTGGGATAAAACAACAGCAGGCTATTAAACAGCTCTAGGGATCTGCATTTGCAGCACAGCCACCCACTCCAACCCCCACCACACACACACACACACACACACCCCCCCCCTTCACACATGTGCACACATGCACGCACACACACATATCTTTCCAGATGGAAAATTCTGCTCTTTGACAACATCAGAGGATTGCAGGGAGACGTGAGTTGCTGTCTCCAGAGTCCCATCCCACGGATTTGCTGGCCTTCAACAACCCCTCCTGGGACGGGACTGGACATGTCCTCTTTGGGAAGACTTTGTCTAAACAAAACCAGCCACCCCATGCATTTTGCTTTTGCCTTGCACACTCATAAATGTTGCACAGATGCTATGTCCCTGCTTGCCCATGGCAGGCATGCACAACAGAGCAGCCAAGACTTTCTCTGCCCACCACCCAAAAACATAGGGGAGGGGGTAGGGTGTGTGGCTCATGGTGGGGAGGCTTTTGGGGAAAGGGGGCAAGGCAGGGCAGCCAAGGCCAGAAGGCAGCCTCCCCCACCCAGGCAGGAGAAGCAGGGCAGTGCCTGCAGAGGGGCCGGCTGGGGGAGCAGGGCTAGGGCAGACGTGCACCCCTGCACATCCAGCTGCCAGAGCAGTGGCTTGTAGGCCAGGGTGGAGGCCAGACAACAGCATGAATGAGCCAGTCCTGGCCATGGCACCAGCCTGGGCAGGAGCCTGCCTGGCTCCCACCCCAGCTTCTCACTGAGGAGGGCTGGAAGGACCGAGAGCCCCCCCATTTGCCAACTACAGCAAAATTGGTGTGTGCAGCTACAATGGCCTCTAGGATTATTTCTGCAGAGAGCCATGGCTGGGGGCACTAGTGGGGGTAAAATGGGAAGGGTGGGGCTGTGGGACTGGGTGTTTTCTCCCCCCCCTCCTTACAGGCACTGATGGCACCATCATCACTTACAGCTGGGATCGAAAAAATAATCCTGAACCTTGGAATAAGCTGAGCCCCACGGACCAGTATAAAGTGAGCACCGGGTGAACTGGGGACCTGGCACTCTGGGGCGCAGAAATGGCCACATTTAGGGCAAGACATTGCATTTTCCTCAAGGAAGGGGGAGGTGGCATCAGTGCTGGGACAGAGGTGCATGAGCCCTCCAGCTCCTTGTGCTCAGATCTGGGGAGGGGAGCACTGTCCCTCCCATGTCACAGCCAAGACTAGGCTGAAGTGACAGTCATGGGGCACACAACCCCCTCTCATGTCCCTCCCTTCTCCAGTTTCTGGCAGTTTCCACTGACTACAAGAGCCTCAAGAAGGACCGTCCCAGTTTCTGAGCTGCTCTAGAGACGTGCTCCAGCGCAAGCTCAGGGAAGAGCATGTCCACCTCTGGCAGTGCTGGCGCAGCCCCCACCAGCCCTCCTGGCTCTTGCCTGCCCCAGAGCTCCAAGACAAATTCCTGCATTCACTGGCCTGGCTGCTTTGCAAGCACCCCCAAACTCTGGGGATGTGTACCCCTCCAATAAACTGCATCACCCTGCAGTGATGTGACCACTGTCACCAATGTCCCTGCCCACCCTGCTGGGCATGCTGCTCGCCCTTGTTTTCCTGCCTGCTTTAAACTCATAGAAGAGTAGTAAGTTATTGGCGGGGGGGGGGGGGGGGAAGGGGGGGAAGCAGCAAAATAGATTATGCATGCCGTTTCCCAGGCCCATTAACACAGGAGACATTAAACATCCCCCCCCCCCCATAAAGGCTGGGGTGGGGGCTCACATCCTGCTGGAAGCTGTTCATGGCCTCTGGGGGCTGCATTTCCACACTCCCACGCTCCAGGACCCTGGGGACTGCCTAGGGACCACGCTGGGTCCCAACCCAGCCTTTCTGGAGAAGAAAAGAGCTGGGTGGGGTGGAAGGGGTCACATGCATGCATATATATGTATATGCATGTCCTGCTCTCGTGGGCAGCCCCTACTCCCCACCAGCCATGCCATGGGGCCAGGGACTGGCCCGTACCAGAGGCAGAGGAGCTGTGCCTTGTCCTGTTTGTTTTGGCCAAGGCCCTGCAGGGGAACTTCTCAGCCAGTAAATACGGAACAGATGACCAAGGAGAGTGGGATGTGCCGGGGAGGAGGCAGCTGCCTGGCCTGGCAGGGGCTGGGCTGCCTCCAGCCAGGCAGTGTGCCGTGGGAAGCAAGGGGCAAAGGAGAGGTCTTGCTGGCACCTCTGCACCCCGCAGCAGCAGAACAGCAAGGAGGGGAGCCTGGGCCATTGTCCCCACTGTACCTGTCTTGCTCCAGGGCTCAGTGTAAACCCCCACCTCAGAATCCACTGGGTGAAACACCAGGGCCAGAGAAACACAACTGTGGACAGGGGAACAGAGGGATCTGAGCCTCCGCATCCACCTCCACCCACAGTGCCCTGGCACAGTGTTGAGGGACCCCAGGGATACTGTCCCCCACAGTACCCTATCATTGACCTCTCTCACCCCAGCTCAGCACCTACACAGCTCTGCACAGCCATGCTTGCTCTGCCCTCACTTTTATTAGCAACCCGCCTACCATAGAAAAGTGTAAGACTTGCTTGGGCAGAGGGGACAAGGCTGGAGCAAGGACTGGTACCTCCCCCCATTAGGGTCTGGGGGTCATCTCTGTACGCTAACACTGAGAGCAGGATGGGGGTGGGCTGTCCCTCGCCTCAGCCGATCCCAGAGGTGCTGGTGGGGATGAAGCGGAGGGAGGAATGCAGAGGGGGGGATTTAAGCCTCCCCTTGCTCCCAGGTAGTCCTGGCCTGACAGAAGGGGTGAGAACTGCTCAGTGGTCACTGAAGCCAGGCATGGGGAAGGCACGAGCAAAGGTCTCCACACGTTGGCGCAGGTCAGCCAAGCGGCGTTGCGTCTCTGCATCCTGCAGCAAGAAGGTCTTAAAGTCCTGGAGCTTGCCTGGGGACAGAGAGGAAGACGGTGAGAAGGGTGGGGGAACATTACAGCAGCCCTGTCCCTGCCCAGGCAAGGGAGGACAGCTGGCACCAGCTCAGGGTGCAGCACCCACACCCCAAACACACAGGTGCTGACTGGCACTCAGGAAAGAGGGAGAGGGCAGCCTTGCTTACTCACTGGTTTTGCTCTTGACATCTAGGGCTAGTGCAATGCCCTCGTCAATGAAAGCCACCACTTTCTGGAAATCCTCCTCGCGGAAGTGGCGGGAGGTCAGTGCTGGGGCACCTGAGGGATGGATCCTGTCAGGACTGGGGGTATCATCTGCAGCAGCCAATCCCACCACAGGTCTCCACATGGGGTTCTGTACCCCTCTCTAAGACAGGAACTGGCTCCAAATTCCCACGTGGAGCCCTCAGAGAGGTAAGACAGAGGGGTGATGTGCCAGGGTGAAAGCCTGGGGACCATCCCCAGGGAAGAGACTGGATGGAGGCAGGAAGACCCATCCCCAAGCAGGACTCATCCCTCACCCAAGCGCAGCCCCCCTGGCGTGAGTGCACTCTTGTCTCCTGGGCAAGTGTTCTTGTTGGCAGTGATGGAGACGAGCTCCAGCACCCGCTCAGCCCGTGCGCCGTCGATGCCCTTGGGCCGCAGGTCAACCAGCACCAGGTGGTTGTCAGTGCCACCTGGGAAGCAAGGAAAAGGGGTCAGGAGTGACAGTCAGTCCTAAGCATCCCCAGACAACCCCTCTTCTCACCACCAAATCCCAACCCCTTCCCTGCTCTGCAGCACTGTGCCCTTTCCACCTCCCCAGCCCCACTCTGCCTTGCACCCCCCCTCCTCTGCCCCCTCAACCATCTCACAGTCCCCACTGCTGCCTAGGGGCACCAAGACCAAGTGGTCTCACTTGCAACCTACTGCAACCTCATTCATCCATCCTTGTCCCCAAAAATTCAAGGAAGCATGCATCACCTGAAACCAGGGTGTACCCACGCTGGAGCAGGGCCTGTGCCATGGCTTTGGCATTCTTCAGTACCTGCTGGCAGTACTGGCGGAAAGCTGGTGAGTTGACCTGGCAGGGGACAGACCAAGTCAATATGGGGCCTGGGTTACTCTCAACCCTGAGCCCACCACCCCAACGCACAGACCTGTTTCAGGGCCACAGCCACAGCAGCAATGGCATGATTGTGAGGTCCCCCTTGCAGGGAGGGGAAGACAGCAAAGTTGACCTTGTCCTCCAGGTCGTAGAGTGTCTCCTTGCCTGTCTTCTTATCCACCGAGCGTACACCCTTGCGGTAGAAGATCAGCCCTGACCTGACGGTGAGAAAGACCTGGCACCACTTCTCCTACCTGTCCACGGTCACCCCAGAGCAGGGGCTCAGACCTGTGGCACCACAGGGCAGTGCCAACACAGCCACCACCCTCCCACAGGTCCCTCCTGCTCAGCTCTGGCCCCAGCCAGAGCATGAAACACAACCTCTTGTTCGCACTCCCCCACCACGGCGACCTCACCTGGCACCACGCAGGGTCTTGTGTGTGGTGCTGGTGACAACGTCCGCGTGCTCAAAGGGCGAAGGAATGGCCTTCGCTGCCACCAGCCCGCTGATGTGCGCCATGTCCGCCAGCAGGTACGCTTTCACCTCCTCGCACACCTGGAGATGCAGGGCATGGGGATTCGTGGGGTGTCCCTTTCCCCATGTCCACAAGTGGGATGTGACTGCCCTGAAGCCACTGCAGGCTG